AAGGGATTGAACCTGCAGCCCAGGTATGTGCCCGTGACCGGGAATCAAACCGGCAACCTTTTGGTGCGTGGGATGATGACCAACCACCTGAGCCACACGGGCCAGGGCTGAGGTTATAGATTTTTGCAAAGAATACTACAGTGGTGATGTGGCCTTCTCTTTGCATCATGTCGGGAAACATACGATGTTAACATGACATTTCTTTAACCTTAATCACTTGGTTAAGGTGGTACCTGTCGGTTACTCCACTATTTTTCCTTTTCTATATTCATGAGAGTCAGTACGTCCAGCCAACCCTCAGGAGGACTTTAAAAGCAGAGTGAAGCCTGGCCGGTGTGGCTCAGTGGTTGAGAGTTGACCTATGAACCAGGAGGTCATGGTTTCACCGGTTACTCCACTATTTTTCCTTCTATATTCATGAGAGTCAGTAAGTCCAGCCAACACTCAAGAGGACTTTAAAAGCAGAGTGAAGCCTGGCTGGTGTGGCTCAGTGGTTAGAGTTGACCTATGAACCAGGAGGTCACCGTTTCATTCCCAGTCAGAGCACATGCCCTGGTTGTGGCCTCGATCCCCAGTAGGGGGCGTGCAGGAGGCAGCTGTTCAATGACTCTCATCATTGATGCTTCCATCTCCCTACTCCCTTTCTCTCTGAAATCAATAAAAATACATTTTTTTAAAAAAAAAAAGCAGAGTGAAGTCACTGAAGGGATTTGTGAATGGCGGTAACGTGTTCCAATGTCTGTTTTAGAAGGAATACACCGGCTAAAATGAGGAGTTGAGTTGGTGGTGGGACTGGACCTAAACTGGTGGATTTGACTGACTAGCAGTCTGACTGCAGGTGTTGGCTCTTGATTGGTTACACGTGATGAGAGAGGGTGACCTCAAGGCCTTCAGGTATCTAATTTGGACAGGTGAGTGGCTGGGGCCTTGCACGGAATACAAACCAAAGGCTGTGTGTCCCCATGGGAGGCTGTGTGCCCCCCCTGACCCCCAGGGAGAATCTACTTTCTGTTTCTTGGTCTTGCTCTGAGGCAGGGGAATGACTTACCCACATACACACTACCAGCCGTGGGCAAACTACGGCCCGCGGGCCGGATCCGGCCCGTTTGAAATGAATAAAATTAAAAAAAAAAAAGACTGTACCCTTTTATGTAATTATGTTTACTTTGAATTTATATTAGTTCACACAAACACTCCATCCATGCTTTTGTTCCAGCCCTCCGGTCCAGTTTAAGAACCCACTGTGGCCCTCGAGTCAAAAAGTTTGCCTACCCCTGGGCCCTAGACCAATGGTTCCCAATCTTCTGACCCTTTAAATACAGTTCCCCATGTTGTGACCCAACCATAAAATTATTTTCGTTGCTACTTCATAACTGTCATGTTGCTACTGTTATGAATCGTCATGTAAATATCTGATATGCAGGATGGTCTTAGGCGACCCCTGTGAAAGGGTCGTTCGACTGCCAAAGGGGTCGCGACCCACAGGTTGAGAACCGCTGCACTAGACGTTTGGGATAAACAAGCTGGGCCAGAATCTCAAGTAAGAGACGGGACAGCCACGGAGGGCCTGGAAGACCTGGAGGGAACTGAGTCATCCCTCCCCGTTCGGTGACCCAGTTATGAGCGTGGGACTCGGTGGTTTCCAACAAGCAATTTTATTGACCTTTTCCGCGGGCGGCCAAGCGGCGTGCCCCTCGGCCTCGGGCGCTTTAAGTCCCTTTACAGGGCCCGGTGGGGA